GCGACAGGTCCCAGAAGACTACAGGACCATTCATGAAGAGCAGCGCTACTCGAACATGCGCAGTGGGTACCTGGCTGTGAAGCCGCAAGCTATCCCAGCCGGGTGCCCACACTGAAGATGCCGGCCTCCTGGAATACAGGACGTCCGGTGGAAAAGGACTGCGGGAGACAGGTAAGTGGCTGTTTTTTTTTTAAAAGTCAGCAGCTACAGTTTTTGTAGCTGCTGACTTATTTTTTGACAGAGTGAGTGGAACTCCGCTTTGATTGTAGTTTTGTAACTGATGAAAGACTACGGTTTGATTCCAACTGACAGACACTTGAATGAAATGATGATAACCCATCAGATTTTAGACTTATAGACTGATTTACTGAAGAAGTAGAGCCTGTTTACTTAGCAAAGTGAATCTTTCCTCAGCAAGGTTCTCCTCAATTTGAATACCCAATCATATGTAGGGAAATTAAAAACAAAACCAGTTTTTCTTTCCAACAAATAGAAGACTGAAGTCTGTGAACATGCACTTTGCCAAATACACATTCTATTCCATTAGCAAATCAACACCATTATGTAAGCAAGGTAAATCTTTCACAGTGTAGGATATTATTACTCCTAGGGCATGGCACATGTTCAAATATCCTGAAAAAAATAATAATTCAGCTTATTGCTTAGTTCACACATGCGTCAGTCTTCGCCGCCCCTCTAAAAAACAATTTGCAGTGCATTGCAATTCAGAGGCGTTTTAACAGGCAACTGGGAGGGCATATATCTGAGGCATGCTGCGAGTGGGCAGAATTACATTCTCTTCTGGACAGCAGTATAACCCAATTGTTTCTGGATTCTGTTCCACTCAATAAATGAGAAAGAAAGATACATTTTTCCTACAAAAAGGAAGAGAATGGAGCTTAGGTCCTCATCACGTGAGGATAGGCAAAAACTGAGCTGGCACTAGCCAATGTGGTATTTGGCCACCAGTAAAGAGCTGCCCCCTGGGCTCTGCTTTTGTTTATGTGCCTGGCATCTTACTCCTGCAGGTGGCAGTATAAAAAAAAAAATACAAAACAAAAGAAAAGAAACAAAAACAGTATAGAACAAAAGATTTCCACTGTGTCCTTCAATGAATGTAAGAGAAAAAGAAATTAGTGTTTTAATGATCCATAGATCATTGTATGAATTGTTAACCAAATAAATTACAACTCTCTCTTAAATTTAGAAAGAGAAAGTTGAACATGTATAACAATGGTAAAAGGACACAAGTCTGCATTAATTTAAATTTTAGTGAAAGCAGGCTGGTCAACATGTATTTTGGGGATAAGTTCACTTAAAAATAAATGCCTATTTTTTGCAAGTAAAAGAAACTAAATGCGCATTTACTTTTTTTTTGGAGCCTGTAAAGCATTGCACCAGAGATCAGCAGATTGCTGGTGGTGGCATGCAGGTCTCCTGCAGACTGCCAGCATAATCTGTGTGCTCGTACCTCGTATGGGCAGACAGTTTTACACTGACAGGAAGACTCAAACCACCACAGCACTCAACAGTGCCGTGGGGGTTCAATGAGAACTATAAGCCGACATCTGCAAAGGATGTCGAGACTTGTAGTTCACTCATTCACAGAACTCTGTGAATGAATGATGTGGCCGTGTGGGCCGGGCCCCCACAGCCACACTGATTTTAAAAAGTGACAGCTAGTACAGGGAACTTCTCCCCATACTGTCACAGGGAAAGATGACAGTGGGCAGAAACTGCAGCAGTGGGAACATATTACATGTTCCACCCTAAAACGGGTGCAACATGTAACATGTTCCCAAAGTTGAACTTATCCTTTAAACATTTTTCGCTATACAAGGCTGTTGACATAATAAAAGCTGAACTCCATGAAACTTAAAAATCTTCCCCTGCAGTGGGACTGCATCCACATTGCAAGCGTTAAAACACATGATTCTATGTAGGGGACTTAGTAAAGCACTTTTAGTTACTCATTCCTCTGCTCCTCTTTGTTGCTAGACACCATAGGTCCCTGTAGCCTCTCCCTTCTCATCCGGCGGTCTATGATCCACTGACATCACCAGGACTGATACATGAACCATACACAGACCCTGCACTGGATGTGAAGAAGCTGAGGAACAGTCCACTACCAGAGAATGGGGGAGTGCCATCTGCCAAGCAAGCAAAACAGGTAAGCAAAAATGCTTTTTAATCCGCTAGACAGAAACAAGCATTTAAAAAAAAAAGTTTTGTTTACAATCATACTTATTCATACCTAGGTGGATGCAGTATCGATCCGATGCTGCATCTGTTCCCCACCGGGTATAAGGGTGAGAACTGAGCGATCAGACACTGCAGATTGCTCAGTTCTCCCTGCCGCTCTGAGCAGAGAGCTGTGTCTGTCAGTTCCTATCTGTACAGGATACTAAAAACAATTATTTATGTATGCACATTAGCCAGAAAGGGTTATTTTTTTTTATTATGGCATTGCCAGGCAGGAAGTCAGCCAGAGTGTACAAAGACACTGCCCTCCTTTATTTCACACATTAAGTCTGAAACACGCATTTAGTGTTATAAAAGCTTTTATAGAAGGCAACTTGTTTATTTTATGTTTCTCTATTTAAACCTGTTTAATATTTTCTTACTTTTTACATTACATTTTTGCATTGGATTGAGTTTTAGTAAAGTGAGTAGATAACATTTTATTTCATTCCCTTTAGAAGCACAAACTTCATACAAATTAATCCAAGTAACAAGTCAAACACAGGATAGAAGTACTAATAAAACATACTCTTAAAAGAATTAAGCAAAGCAACTATTTAGTTAGGTGCTAATGGAGGAAGTGGTTTCCTCAACAGCTAAGGGCCCTTTCACATGGGCGATCCAATCAGGTCCTCCTTTTAGTTTTTCAGGCAGACCTGATCGGGAGGTCCATACATTCCTATGGAACAGCGAGTGTACAGTACACTGACTTGTGCCCATATACTGCCGTCTACCTCTGCGTCCAATCAGGCCTGCTAAAAAAAAATGGAGGACGACTGCGTCTTCTTCCATTTGGGAGGACTAGAGTGTAGGCAGCCAGGTGTAAAAAGAAGTAGAGTCCATTTACTCATCTGAAACAAACCAGTTGTCCGCCCTGCTCTGCTCCAGTCAACAGGGGATTAGCTCACAGATCCCCTGCTGATCAGAATGGAAGGCACCCGTGTGAAAGGGCCCTAAATGTATGTTCCTAGGCAGGACATTCAAAGAGAATTTTTAGCTTTACTCCTAAAACTAGTTTGAAAGAGCCAGTTGACCACCTTTGCCTTTCCTCACCGTCTTTCTGATGTCATAACATACAATGCAGGACCAGTAGTCCTGCATTGCATGTGAGGACAGCGCGGGACCGCCCACAACCCAGAGCATCAGTGAGAAGAGGAGCCAGCTGCCAAGGAAGCAAGGATTAGGTAAGTATTAGTCTGGGTTCACACATCTACGGGTCCTGTGTGCCTTGTTTACATGGGCACAGCAGTCCATTCATTTGAATGGGCTGCTGTACCTGCAGGAAAACGCGAGGAAAAAATCCTTGACCCTTTTTTAAAAAAACAAGGCTGCACGGAACCGCATGAAACGCACACCAGAAAACGTGCCAAGCTTTTTGATGCATCGAAACAAATCTAATGAAATGCATGGTCTGCCTACATGCAAAACACAGGTCGCACAAGTGCAAACCTAGCCTTAGGTTTCATAGCCATTGCTTACTTGACAAGGTCATCAGGTCATTTAAAGAAGAATTAGAAGTAGGCCAAGCAAAATACTGTGTTCTTACTGCCTATATGGTGGCCCTTTCAAAATCTACATACAGTTATACACAGTACATTTTTTCTGTTGAATTCATTCATGATCATAAAAGATACACAAGCAAGCAAAGTCACAGGCCCATAAACCACCTGCCCCTGAAGAGGTGCCAGTTATGTGGTGAGCCAGCACCACAGTCAGGTACCATTCCTCATTTCTTGCTTGCAATAACAATGTCTTCAACATTTTCCGATACATAAATAATGGTAGCATTTGCTACTAGTGTTTTTCTTAAAAAAATGTGTGGAGAATGTATTTTTTTACATTATTAAATTTTTATAGCTGCAACAGTATGCATATGTTGCAATTTATCTTCATATTTGTATACACTGTAGGAGAGAAACTCTGCAAGAAACGCATCTGAACATGGATTCATACACAATGAAATATGTTATGCAATATACTAGCCTCCCTTCAAGACCCATTTGTGAAGTGCACTTTACATGTGCTCTTCAATGGTCCACTGTGGAATGCACAATACGTTTACTAAAGCGCAGAACAGTTTGTCTAAATTAATAACTCAGGCTTAACATAGCCGCAATAGGATTCACTACTTAATTTCTATACCTTTACAAATGTGTTAAGAATGTAACTCACGTACTTTCTGCTACTTCTGCTCAAGTGTTAATTTTTTTTCACATATTGATGTATGGCAACCCAACATCTTTATATTTCAGCAACCAACGCCTTAGCTCTCATGCAATGTATAAAATAAATGCTCTTTAAAAAAATGGTGTTATATATTAAAATATAAAAATGGTGAAAGCAGCTAAGGTAATTGGAGGATGAAGGAACTTTGTACTTCTGCGTTACACAGTAGTTCATTGATCCTGCTGCTGATTAAAAAGAATCAGCTTCTGCTTTGGCTGTAACTAGCAGCATCCATAAAAAAATCCTATTAAATACTTTTTTATGCTAATTGGTCTGTTCACAGAAATCTACTCTCTACATTGCACAAGAAGGTAAGAGGGTGTTTTGCAAACAAGTATACAAAATGGCATCTCAACTCTATGTGGCAATTATTTAAAAAAATACCAGAAAAGCCACTATTCTTCATGACTTCCACAAAACCCAGGCTCAGAAGAGTACAGGCTGCTTAGAAACGTAAAGTTAGAATTTCTATTCCAACTCAAACCTTAGGCTCATTCTTGTAAGGGAGGAAATTCTGTTAGAAAATGAAAGGTTCACCGAGATGGTGGTGCTAGCACAGGGTGTGACAGAGTGACATTAAGGGCATCGTTGTGCTGCACCAAGGATGTATGTTGATAATGCAACACCAACTCTTTCAATGAAGAGTAAAGGTAATAGGGCTCAGCAAAGCCATATCCAGTGGTTGTCTTGTAGATAACGCAGTGTTTTGTATCACCATCGACCCTATAAACAGAGGTCAGAATAAAAGTTAGAGGATCTAAGGTCACAGCATACATTTTCACTATATAACATCTGCATCGTTATAGCAATACAAACAGTAGTTATTTTTGACAATCAATAATAAGCTTTCTTGAAATATCCCCTTAAATACTACCTGTCTGTTGTCCATCTTTTCCGGCACGTTCCTCTGAACTCTACTGTATGGAGGGTTGAGGTGCCGTTCACAGTGAATGGCAACGCAGCACACCTAGAGCTGGTATGTTACTGGAACTTGCACAATGTACAAGTGTGAATGGCCCCTTAATCTGTTAGCCAGTGGCACTACAGGGTACTGTTATGGAGCCCCTGAGGGTTTCTTTGTTTTAATCACTGTGTTTTATGTGCATAATACCAACTGATACATTTCTATATACTAGCATGATTATTCATTTAAATGAATTCATCATTAGGAAAAAAAAAAACAAACAGCATTTAACAAAATCATTATTATGGAATAGGGCAATATATGTCTGACAGTTTTGTAACTTCATACTTACACAACTGAGCAGGCATAACAGCCTTTCTGGCGGCTCTCCCGAATCAGAAAGGTACCATCTGCCTTCCCAGCCAGCATCTCTTCAGCCTGCTCTCTTTTCATCTTTCCCATGTACCAAGTCCTTTCTTCATGGTGTGGGAGATCCTCCTCGTCATCCATCATAGAGTATGGGCTGCATGGAACATAGGTGTATCAAACATCTGTTTTCTAAATACACAGTTTGACAGGTTCAACAACTTAAACAGTTCTAAGCTTTATAGAAAATGTACGAATGCCATACATGCACATGCCCATTAAATAAGACCAAGCCTTTGCCTCCACTCCATACAGCCATCCCTTGTACTGTTTTGTGTAAAACAGGCAAAAACTTGAGAGAAATTCTCCATTACGTGCATGACATTTTAAAAGAATATTTACAGCTGCGGACAAATCTGGCACCCTTCCACAAAAGAACCCCCCCCCCAAATTTTCTCTGAATTGACCTGAAACTAACAAAAATATATGGCATTTGTCAAAGTTTATTCTATATTTAGTAAACAAATCATACATTTTTTTTTTTGAGTTTTGAACAGAATATTTTAAATAAAACAAATGAAAATGGCATGGACAAAAATGGTGGGGCCCTTAACCTAATAATCTGTTACACAACCTTTAGATGCAAGAACTGCAAACAAGCAATTTCTGCTTTTAGCCCACCCTTCTTAAGCAAACTGCTCTAGCTGTCTCAAGCTTGAAGGATTTCCTCCCCATACTGCATATTTCAGCTCTTTTCCAATGATGTTTGACAAGATTCAGATCAGGGTTTAAATAAAGCATTTTCAGAACAGGCTAATTATTTTCTTCCTAGTCATTCACTGGTGCTTTTAACTGTGTTCTGGGTCTATATCCTGTTGTAGACCTGTGACAGAACAGAGCTTAATCACACTAGGGAGTATGTTGCACTTCAGAATTCCTTAGCACTCTTGACATTTCATTGTGCCCTTCACAGATTCGAGGCCCTATGCTAGACGCTGCACAGCAGACCCAAAACCTAATCATGTCACAGCTGATGTAACTTGCCACAAAGCTCTAGTTTTGTGTCCAAAAAGACAATTCTCCAAGAAGCACTGTGGCTCATCAATATGCATTTTCGCTAATTCCTGTCTGTTTTATTTAAAGGTTTCTTTTTTTCAAAAAGTAGTCTTCCTGGGTCTTCTTCCTTTAAGCCCACTGACACGTCATGATAAATGGTGCAACCATGTACCTCTGTGGATGCTTTCTTGGCTCTTTGTCGATTATTCACGCTGTCCTTTTGTTCAATCCAGGGACGGTTTTCCACTTGTGGCCACAACCAGGGAGTTTGGACCTTGAACTTATTATTATTTGAAACTGTAGTCAAAAGAATATCAAGCTGCTTGGGGATGGTCTTTTAGCCTCAGATTACGCTCTCCTTTGCTTTCTCTGGTGCATGTTCAACGAGAGGCACATAATCATACCAGTGATTACTATGTTCTATTTATATGGGCTGATTGATTTCAAGACGTATGATACTAATGACAGAAAACAGTTTGAAATACCACAATGATCCAATTATTGAAATCTTTTCTAGGGGTACCAACAAATCTGTCCAGGCCATTTTAGAATATCTTTGCATATTAAGCAATACACTTATCACTTTTCACAATTATTTGCTATACAGAAGCAAGTATACATGAGAAAATCGCTTTTAATTTCATCACTTTTCAGGAGGAATGAAGTATTGTTTCAATGCACTGTAGAGGCAAAAACAAATTTGTCCACACCTATACATCCTTAATTGTTTTACATTCTCTTCCTTTTTTATTTCAAGCAATAACCCTATCTTAAATGATGGCATACAGGAAGGATTTTTCTTGAAAAGAAAAGAGTGTTGTTTATTGTGAACCCCCCTGAGGAAGTCACATGACCATGTGACAAAACACATGGGAGCGGGGATGGATGACGGAACAATGTTCTTAGATTAGCAACAGAGAGGAAATCCGCACGTGTAATGTGCAAGAGTTATGTAGACGCTGGCTGATGCTTTGTGTGGCTTGGCATTATTATAATGTCAGTGTTTATTTTTAATGTGGCACAGAATAAATAGTAAAAAGGATAAAGCACTATATAGTCTTTTTATTTTACATTGCTGAATGGCTGGAGAGAATTTTAGTGCTTTTAAAAGGGAAGTACCTAAAGCCTATGCATTGCTCAGTGGATGAAGAGAGCTGGAGACTGCATTTAAAGGAGAGACATCCAAATTATCTGGAGGAGCTGGCTATATAAAAACAATAAATAGGAGGATATTCCAGTGAACGGGGGAATGACTACAATCCTTTTTTGACCCTACAATATATGTCGGTCATGGAGTCCAGGAGAGAGCACAACTAGCGGTGGTCACAAGTTTGAAAAAGTATGGTGGTGAATCTTAGAGCGAAATACCACAATATTTTGAGACTTTATTTATATTTGTTTGTGGACTTTGTTGAAATTGGAAATGTTTGATCACGGATTATATATGCTGTATTTTGTTCATTTGTATGGTATTACACATTATTGCTGCACCATTTGTACATTACCAATGTTTTTTGGCCAGTTTTACCTAATTTAACCAATTGAGATGCTAACGTTGCTAGGCAAATAGTCACTAAACCTGCACTATATCTCTGACTGGATGTCGCTCCATTTCCTCAAACTCAACCTCTCCAAAACCGAGCTTCTCGTCTTTCCCCCTTCCCGTGCCCCCCCCCCCCCCATCCTTTCCATCACTACCAACAACACCACCATCAATCCCGCCCAGCAAGCCAAGGTCCTTGGCGTCATTCTGGACTCAAACCTTTCCTTTCAACCTCATGTCAAATCACTCACAAACACATGCAGGCTCCACCTCCGGAACATCGCCAGGATACGCTCCTTCCTTACCCCAGACACCACTAAACTACTCGTACACTCCCTGATTATCTCACGCCTTGACTACTGCAACTCCCTCCTCATCGGCCTACCCCAGTGCAAACTCTCCCCACTTCAGACCATCCTGAACTCAGCTGCCAGACTCATCCACCTCACCAGCCGCTCCACCTCTGCCACCCCCCTCTGCCTCTCCCTCCACTGGTTCCCCATTGCCCAACGCATTAAATTCAAACTGCTCACTCTGACCTATAAGGCCATTCACAACACTGCCCCTAACTACCTCACCGACCTGATTCCCAGGTACCACCCTACCCGTACCCTTCGCTCTTCACAGGACCTCCTTCTATCTTGCTCCCTGGCCTCTGGTCTCCTCCTCCCACGCACGACTGCAAGACTTCTCCAGGTCCTCCCCCATCCTCTGGAACTCACTACCCCAATCCATCAGACTGTCACCTTCCCTCCTCACCTTCAGGCGCTCCCTGAAAACCCACCTCTTCAGGGAAGCCTACCCCACCCTCACCTAACACAGCCGCTGCCCTTCCCTCCTCCTACCACTCCATCCCCCAGCCATTTCCTCCTGTACCTCTACCCCCTCCCTCCTAGATTGTAAGCTCGAAAGAGTAGGGCCCTCTTACCCCTTGTGTGCTGTTTGATGTTACTGTACTGTTTCATGTATTGTCCCCCCCCACCCTCTATTGTACAGCGCTGAGCAAACCGTTTGGCGCTATATAAACTCGATAAATAAATAAAATAAATAAATACTATATTTTTTTTTTTCTTTTTTTAGGGTTTTGCTTTTGGTTACATAATTGAGAATGGGCAGAGTGAACTGTGTTACACCTAAAAGCGTGATATACAAAAAAGGTAACTGGAATAAAAAAAGGACCCTATGGCAGGACTAATTACCTGAACTTTTTTTTGCTTTATTTTGTTCATTATTTTTGAAACAAACATCTGAACACAGTAGAAAAGTAAATTATTTGTATAGATCAGTGTAAAACAGTTAAAGTGGTTGTAAACCTCAGACATGACATATGAAGAAAGCATACCCCTTTATACTGTGTACTTGTCTCATTCCAGCATTAAGTGTCATTTCTGACTGCTGCTTCATTCTTTTGCTATCAGCATGAATCACTTCTGGCAAATTTTTCTGACACCAAGAGAAAAATGGTGACAGCGGAGGGAGCTCCAGCAGATTAACAGCCTCAGCTCTGTTCCTGTGAGCTGTGTGGTGGCGGGTGTGTCCCTTCCCTCCAATCAGCTCTCAGAAATCTCCTCACTGAGCTCTGCAGAGTGTAACTTCAGCTCTGCGCCCCCTTTTTCTGGAAGCTCAGACAAGCTTAAAAATCAGCACTTTGAATGGATGTAGAGAAGAGAAGACAGTAGATAGACCGATACAACTTGTGTAAGAGAATTTGTAGAGGGTCAGAGCGATACTAGAAAATAATTAAGGTAAAATTGTAAAATTTTATGTTTTCTGGACAACATATATGTGCTGTGTCATTTGAGACTGTGCATGAGAGGCGAGACGTGTTGCTTGGTTTGGTTATGGTGAATATTGGGAACTTTAAGATGCTATATTTGAAAGCTTAAAGTGGGCTGGTCTCGAAGGGAATAATTACAGTAGGGGAGAGGGTAAGGTATGGGGGAATACAAGGGTAAAAGCTGAATTCACCCGCTTTGTGAAGTCTGCTGGCTTACTGAATTAAGTCTAACGAGCTGTATGCTACCTTGTGGACTTATGTCTCATCTACAACTGAAACTCTTACTGAGCATCGGGAGTGCAGCTATCACTATACTACCATCCCTCTGACAGGATATAAGCGGTTTTCTCACACACAGCAGTTCTACCTGCTCCCCACTCCTGCTATTCTGTTACAGAAGGCTGTGTATTTTGTAAATGGGTTTATATAATACAAAGCACTTTGTGTTTGGGCAGGAGGACAGGAAGAGCAAGAAAAGAAACGCATGTGAGTCTGCAGCTACAGAAGCTGAGAACAGAAGGTACAGCATAGGAGCACCAGAAGTATAGCAAAAGCTAAGCCCCTGGCACTCAGAAAAAAAAAATGGTAAATTAAAAAGCTAAATACAGAGGGCATGCATTTTGTTGGACTTAACCCCTGGTAATCCAGAAAATTTTACATAGTGTCTGAATTCCTGGAGCACAGCTTTAAGCTTTCTACCCAACCTTAAAGTGGTATTCAAGGCAGTTAAAAAAAACTAAAAAAAAACATGTCCTACTTACCTGTGCTGTGCAGTGGTTTTATACAGAGCAGCCCCGATCCTCCTCTTCTTGCGCCTTTTGCCGGAGCTACTTGCCCCTCCCTCCTGCTGAGTGCCCCCAGAGCAAGCCGCTTTCTATGGCGGCACCCATGCAGGCTCCCTCCCGAGCCGCTGCGTATCCATACACACACAGAGCCATGGCTCAGCCCTCCCCCCCTCTCTCTTCATTGGCTCAAAGGCTGAGATTGTCTCAGCCAATGAGGAGGGAGAGTCCCCAGAGAGAAGAGGCTCTTGTGCACATCACTGGATCACGATGGAGCTCAGGTAAGTATTGGGAGGGCTGCTGCACACAGGTTTTTTATCTTAATGCATAGAATGCATGAATGTAAAAAACATTGAGCCTTTACAACCACTAAGTTATGCTTGAAGAAGAATTTCAACAACTATTTGCTACTCTGTGTTGCTAAGAGCAAGCCTGCAAAATCATTTATTCAGATTATTTCAAATACAATAATAACACTTTCACATTTCCAATTTTGTAATAAAACCACAGAGTGCATACTGTTTTTAGCAAAAGAGACATGGCTAACGTGTTTTTCTGGAAAGTAAAAAAACTAAATATTTACTCTTCAGGTTCATTCTTCAAGTCCAGCCACACTCACTGATATCTTTTTGACGAGCCCCATTGCCAAGCAGCCAACTGAAATATAAGATAAAGACAACAAAACAAAATTTATGTAACAGCTACAAGATGCATGGAAAATAACATTTGTAGATGATCATATGCACAATAGAGTAAAACCCATGGCAAACATATTTACAGCAGTCATGACTTGCTAGATAGTTGGATAGTCTTTTGCTGATGCAAACAAAAGCCCCTTGACAAAAGGACCTTACTTCAATGTTCCAAACAACTGTAAAGTTGTAACCAGAAATAGGTGTGGGTACTACCCATGGCAACCCACCAGATAACAATTCGAACATAAAAAAAACACTAAATTCAGAAAGATTACTATCAGGGGTCTCTTTTAAAAACAAAAATTAACCACTTGCCTACCGGGCACTTATACCCCCTTCTTTACCTGTCCAATTTTCAGCTTTCAGCGCTGTCGCACTTTGATTGACAATTGCGCGGTATTGCAAGATTGTACCCATATGAATTTTTTAATCATTTTTTTCTCACAAATAGAGCTTTTTTTTGGTGGTATTTAATTGCCGCTGGGCGCTTTACTTTATGCGCTATAAACAAAAAAAGTGCAAACATTTTGATTAAAATTTTTTTTCTTTGTTTCTATTAAAAAAAACTTTTCAAACAGGTAATTTTTCTCCTTCACTGATGTGCGTTGATGAGGCAGCACTGATGGGCACTGATAGGCGGCACTGATAAGCAGCACTAATGAGGTGGCCCGGATAGGCGGCACTGATAGGCAGCAATAATGAGGTGGCACGGATAGGCGGCACTGACAGCACTGACAGGTGGCACTGACTGGCATCACTGCTGGACACTGACTGGTGGCACTGCTAGGCATTGACTGGCGCAACTGATGGGCACTGACTGGTGGCACTGACTGGCAGCACTGCATTGATGGGCACTGGTGGGTGGTACTGCTGGGCACAGGTAGGTGGCACTGCTGGGCGGCACTGCTGGGCACTGATCATCAGTGCCCTGATGATCGGTGCCGATCCCTGCTCTGACAACTGCCGGTTCTCGGCAGTACTTTCCTCGCGCTCTGACAGCGTGAGGAAAGTGCAGCCGAGAACCGGCAATTGCATTTTCTGGTGATCAGCATGTCATTGGACACGGCTGATCACATGGTAAAAGGCCGCTGTGATTGGCCTTTTACCACATCACGGGATCAGCTGTGTCCGTAGGGGGCGCGTGTTCTGGGAGGACGTCATATGACGCCCTCCCAGAACTGGCCGGTCGCAGTGTAGCCGTCATTCGGCTATCTGCGGTTGGCAAGAAGTTAACTTGGCAAATGTCTCCACATTTGTACAAGTGTAGCAAACTATATCCCATAATGCTTTTAATATGTGTGTAAAATTTTCCTTGTTGCCTTTCGCTGGGCTAATGTAACAATCCTTAACATTCGGTCCTAAGAGAAAACGAAGGACATTTGACTAATAGAGAAATGAGCCTACCACTTATAGGCTTAAGAATTAAATTATCAGGAGAACATGCCGGTGTCCCAACAACCAGTGTCTAATCCCTGCCTGGCATATTCAGCTGTCAGCTGCATGCTCAGATAAGGGAATGCTGTGGGCTAGGGAAGGGGGGGGGGGAAATTAACCCCACATTTTTTTTTTTTTTGTGCGTGGTTCCTCCCTAAAATCTATATCAGACTCAAAGGATCTGGTATGGAATTTGGAGGGACCTCATGCCATTTTTATTTTCATGGCGTCCCCCTTAAAATCCATACCAGACCTAAAAGGCTTATATGAATATTTGTGGGAATCTCGGGCTGAGTCACTGGTTGTTAGGTCGTGGGTAGGTGCCAGCACCCCAACAACCAGGACACTTTCACATATGAGGCAAATGTTTTGCTTCGCGCACTTCAGCTGGAGGTTCGTTCAGCCAAACAACCATTCATTTGGCTGTTCACACAGGATACTTCAGAGACTGTACACATTGCAGAAGTATCCCTCAAATGATTTCATCTGCTGGACAAAATGTCTTTGTCTCTAGTGTTAGGCTAGTTTCCCTGTTGGGGAACATTCATTATTGAATGTTCTTATAGATATTTTTCTCCTAGGATTGAATGTTAGGGATTGTTATATTTGCCCAGCAAAAGACAACAAGGAACATGCTACGCACATATTAAAAAACATTACGGCATTACTTGTTATGCTTGCATGAATTAATTTTGCAAAGCAATTTATCAAAAGACACCGTAATTTTTATGGAATGGATACACCTCTGTTTCTGCACCCTTACTGTGAGCAGGAGAGTGATTGAAAACAAAATGTTATACCACAGAGAGATTTGCTGCACCATGCTACTTACACCAGATACTGGTCTCTAAGTTTACGCAGCTGCAAAAGGTCTGGCTTCAAGCTGTTCATTTTCTTGTCAATTTCACGATTTTCATTTGCTTGCTTTTTTAAGTCTTGCTCCAGTTTCTTCTTGCTGTCATGAATTTCAGTCACTCGAGACTTTAGTTTTTTGAGAATTCATCAAAATCCTATTGGTAAAAAAAAAGTTAAGCAGATATAAATCAAAAAATATCGACGCATATGAGTGTAAAACCCCGTTCATGCAGCTATTTTTTTTTTTTTTTTTTAATATCTTGTACTACTTGTATATTGAGGATGTGTCTTTTCTAGTACTACAATGTGTAAGTAGATTGTAAACTTATAAAAACCCACATCAGTCTGTATATGCAATAAAGCAGGGGTAGGCAACTGTAGCCCTCCAGCTGTTGTAGAACTACAAGTCCCATGAGGCATTGCAAAACTGACAGTTACAAGCATGACTCCCAAAGGCAGAGGCACAATGGGACTTGTAGTTCACCAACAGCTGGAGGGCCACAGTTGCCCACCCCTGCAGTAAAGCATGCTTGTTATACTCATTGTGGAAGCTAAGGGGTTAATCCGCTGCATTGTGCAAATAGGCAGTTTGTTCCTGATTGCTCTGTTCCTCCCCTTGTTTAAGAGACCACCTCTCATCTCGTGATAAAACAGACTGAACGGTAGGCATTTTGAATATGTTCAGTTTGGTGTGTATTGCTAGTTTTTTTTTTCTTGGGAGATTGCAGGTGATCAGCACAGGGCCAATCAGCAAAAAAAAAAATTTAAAGTGCCCCTGTTCCCCCATGCTCGCGAGTAGTGGTGAACGCATATGTAGGCCACGCGCACATATGTAAACGGTGTTCAAACCACACATGTGAGGTATCTCCACGAACGCAAGAGCAATAATTCTTGCACTAGACCTCCTCTGTAACTTTACATTGGTAACCTGTAGAAATGTTTAAAGTGTCACCCATGGAGATTTTTTAGTAACGTAGTTTGACACCATTCCACGAGCGTGCGCGATTTTAAAGCATGACATGTTGGGTATCTATTTACTCAGCGTAACATCATCTTTCATATTTTGCAAAACAATTGGGTATATATTGTTTTTTTTTTTTTTTTGAATCAATAAAGTGTATTTTTTTTTTTCAAATAAATTGCGTTTGAAAAATATATTAATTTTTAAAAACTGTCCATTTCGGTTTCGGTTTTCGGCCAAGTGCATCCTGAATTTTTGGTTCCAGAATTTTCATTTCGGTGCACCACTAATTTGTGCTATCATTGCAATTGTCAGGAGAAGAAGAAGAATTTACCGTGCAAGGTTTTTTTTTTTTTTGATGGATGCGTTGTGGTAAAATGGCATAAAAATATAAGGCTAAAGTTAAAAAATTATTTTTTGGGGGGGCAATTTTCCTTTTGTAATAGAAAATTAGGAGAGATCAATTAAAAATTTTTACCAAATCGAAGCCCAATTTGCTGTGAAAAGCAAGGTATATTCCACTAAGAAGTAGTTATAATGATACAGTCATGGCCGAAATTGTTGGCACCCTTGATATTTCTCCAGGAAATCATGTATTTCTCACGAAACGTATTGCATTAACACATGTTTTGCTATACACATGTTTATTCCCTTTGTGTGTATTGGGACAAAACAAAAAAAAGGGAGGAAAGAAAGCAATTCGACATAATGTCACACAAACCTCCAAAAATGGGCTGGACAAAAGTATTGGCACCCTTTCACAACTGCGGATAAATAAGAATGTTACAAGCATGTGATGCTCCTGTAAACTCACCTGGGGCAAGTAACAGGTGTGGGCAATATAGAAATCACACCTGAAAGCAGATAAAAAGGAGAGACGTTCACTTAACCTTTGCATTGTGTGTCTGTCTGTGCCACACTAAGCATGGACAACAGAAAGAGGAGACGAGAACTGTCTGAGGACCTGAGAACCAAAATTGTGGCAAAATATCAACAATCTCAAGGTTACAAGTCCATCTCCAGAGAACTAGATTTGCCTTTGTCCACAGTGCGCAACATTATCAAGAAGTTTGCAACCCATGGCACTGTAGCTAATCTCCCTGGTCTCGTGGACGGATGAGGAAAATTGATGAAAGATTGCAACGCAGAATAGTCCGGATGGTGGATAAGCAGCCCCAAACATGTTCCAAAGACATTCAAGCTGTCCTGCAGGCTCAGGGAGCATCAGTGTCAGTGCGAACTATCCGTCGACATTTAAATGAAATGAAACGCTATGGCAGGAGACCCAGGAGGACCCCACTGCTGACACAGAGACATAAAAAAGCAAGACTACAGTTTTGCAAAATGTACTTGAGTAAGCCAAAAGCCTTCTGGGAAAACGTCTTGTGGACAGATGAGACCAAGATAGAGCTTTTCGGTAAAGCACATCATTCTATGTTTACCGAAAACGGAATGAGGCCTACAAAACAAAAACACAGTACCTACTGGTAAAATATGGTGGAGGTTCAATGATGTTTTGGGGTTGTTTTGCTGCCTCTGGCACTGGGTGCCTTGACTGTGTGCAAGGCATCATGAAATCTGAGGATTACCAAAGGATTTTGGGTCGCACTGTAGGGCCCAGTGTCAGAAAGCTGGGTTTTTCCAAGATCCTGGGTCTTCCAGCAGGAAATGACCCCAAACATACGTCAAAAAGCACTCAGAAATGGATGGCAAAGAAGCGCTGGAGAGTTCTGAAGTGGCCAGCAATGAGCCCAGATCTAAATCCCATTGAACACCTGTGGAGAGATCTTAAAATTGCTGTTGGGAAAGGTTTGTCCTTCCAATAAGAGAGACCTGGAGCTGTTTGCAAAGGAAGAGTGGTCCAAAATTCCGGGTGAGAGGTGTCAGAAGCTTATTGATGGTTATAGGAAGCGACTGATTTCAGTTATGTTTTCCAAAGGGTGTGCAACCAAATATTAAGTTAAGGGTGCCAATACTTTTGTCCAGCCCATTTTTGGGGTTTTGTGTGACATTATGTCATATTTGCTTTTCTGCCTCTGTTTTTATATTTGTTCCAATACATACAAAGGGAATAAACATGTGTATAGCAAAACATGTGTTAATGCAATACCTTTTTTGTGTGAAATACTTGATTTTCAGGAAAAATATCAAGGGGTGCCAACAATTTCGGCCATGACTGTATGTACATTTATATACTAACACAGGTCAAAGCTGCAAAATTGGGCTTGGGTGTTAATGCCGCTTCACATATATGCAGACTGGATGTGGCTTGAACTGCATCCAATCTGCATGACATGTGAAAAAAACATTGCTTCCTATGGTGCCTGTTCACACATGTCCGGTGCACTGGTGGTGCGGATTCAGTGAGGTTTGAAGAAAAGTAATGTACATTTCTGAGCAGTGCGGTCCGGATCAAGTGCGGATTACAGGCTATTGACTTCTATGGGAACTGTTTCTAAACCGCATGTGTGTGACCAGGATGGTCCTGAGAGCTAATCCTGTCCTGAATCAGATTGTAAACCTGACATGAACTGGTGAACAACTACTGTATTAATTAGCAGTGAAACCTGAACTTCAATCCGCACCGCACATGTATGAACCAGCCTTTTTTTAGGTTTATTTGACCTTGGCCATGGAGGGCTTTAATAAATATATAAAAATGACTAAAAGTCTACAAATATTCTATAGCTAAAGGGTAAAGCAGTAGTTTCAGACAAGAAGATGGAGACAAAACTAGATGTGTGAATATGTGAAAAGACAAGATGCAAATGAACAAAAACAAGACTGTAGAGCAGAGGCAGGCAACCTTTGAGAGGCGGAGGTCTACCTGAGCAACATGGAAGAGATCAAAGATCACCTGGGCGCAGTGCCCTTTTTTTATTTTTTAAAGAAATTACTAGCAAGGCCCCAATAAAAAAGGCATGAAAGAAACTTATAAAAATATAATAAAACAAACATCACTGTAATCAAAAATGTGCAAATACTTACGGATGTTCAGTCTGGTCATGTGATCTTACCTGTGTCAGCCAACAACGGCTGCAGGGCAGAAAGTGTCCCAACCATTGTTGGCGCGCCCTCTTCTCCCCTGCATATGCTGCTGAATCACACAGGTGAGATCATTTGGCCAGACTGGAGCAACTGCAAATAGGTCAGTCAGCATAGGTGTTAGGGGTATGTTGCCCGCAAGCGAACTGCGATTTTAGCTGCGTGGGGATGCCATTTGGAATGAACCCTGTTTGTTTTGGCTGAGGGTGGTTGCGGGTGTGGGAACAGGTGCAATTCCTCCTGCAGTAGTGTGAACCTGCACTTATGATCAGTGGTAGTGTTATTTCAACCTACTTCCTTTATTGGTGGGCAGTGTTGGTGTTAAATAAACCTTTATGCAGCAATTGTGTCCGTGGCAGTGTTCATTAACCCCTTCATGCTGTAGCATAAAGGGGTTAACACTGACACTGGTGCCACTAATGCAGTAGAAAAGAGTTATTTAACTGTCACAGGTCACTAATGCATCAGTGCCAAGTTGCAGCATGTTAACCCCTTCATGCTGCATATTACTATTGTAATTATTAACCCTTTAATTATTAACCCTTTTCATCATAACACCCCCCCCCCGTTACTGTAATACAACAAAATTACACTGTCAAAAGTAAATCCTCCAGTCAGTGGCTGCTGCCTTTGGTATTACTTACTTGTATTCATGCTCCCTTAAGGTGCCGGTGCTATTCGATCTTCCTCTCCCGCCCTCTGAATGACAGCAAGGCAGAAACCGGGACTAGAAGTCATGTCGGGTGGAGATCACTCCGCTTGACAGAAGTGTATGTATGCTTTCTAGACTGGTGCCGGGTGCAGGAGTGCTCTCGGCGCTGCTGCTCTGCTTCAAATAGGGGACTTTTGGCTTGGCTTTACATGTAAAACACACAGGTGGCAAAAGCGTTCAGGAGCTGGCAGGCATGTTGGGTCGCGATCTACCTGTCAGATAGATGACAGGTATATCGTGGTCGATGGGTTGCCGATACCAGTTGCAGAGTCGAAAAAAATTTGCTCAGGACAGGCTACCTACTGGTGACCATATCCATGGTACAATCACTTGTAGCTTTCACCAGGGATGAATGGAATAGGGTGACAATGAAGGAAAGCAGTTGTGAGACATTTCTCACTTCTTAAAATAAGTGTCTGAATGAAACCTTTCCCATCAGATCACCAACTATTAGTTTAACAAAAACTGTAGAATTTAACACAACTTCTGAAATTATATGAACATATAAAGCTTCTATTTTAGGGACTAGGATGACATACTGTGCCATTGTGAAGGAGAGATTATTGAAGGGATGTATATTTCTCTGCGTTTTCTGTTATATGTGAGAGAAATATGTACTTTATTTACTGTGTATTGTGTTACCTTTGTTTCAGATCCAGGCCAGGATTTACCCAGGAAAGGTGATCCCAAAAGAATGAAGTCTCACAATTTACTTTGAAGTAGAACTCTAGGCAAAATTTTTTTCTTTCATTTTAGATGCGAGTAAGGGAGGGTTATAAGCTCTGTCAGTTTATTTTTTTGCTATCTGTCCCATCTGGGGACAAGCCAAAATATAGGATTTTCTTTTCCTTTCAATGATAAGGATATACAGGACAAATAGAGAGGGTAAATATACCTAACAGAGGCACAGACAGGAATAAAAACTGGCAGGGGTTCTAATCAATCTCCACTCTGTCCAAAAATAAAAAAAAATAAAAGTTTTGCCTTTAGTTGTATTTTAAAATGTGTACAGTACCTCTCAATCTCCTGGTTATTGCCCTCTCTACGACACTTTTCAATGTAGTCCTTAGTGAATGCTTCTTGGGTCTGACACTGCTCTTCAAAGATTTTGATAGTTTCTTGAAAGCTTCAATGGCTGTGCGCTTCATCTGTAGTTCCTATTACAGGAAAACAGAGAACATGGATGGTAAAATATTAGAGGAGGGCAGAATTTAAACAAAATGCACAGCTGATTTATGTGAAAGTCATACCTGAGTTGTTCTGGTATATTCCTCATAAAGGGAGTCAAATTCCCGGCTTTTGTCTCTGTATTGCTGATTATAAACCTTAAGCTGTTCTCCTACAGCTTCCACACTGTCTTCTTTCACAATCTGGTCCTATATTTCCATAAAACAAAACTAATATAGTACTTAAAGAAAATGAAGAATGGCTGTGTAAATTTTTTTTCTTGCATACTTTATAGTAAAAACAGATATAAAACAAAAATAAACTTTAAAGTGTCAACTACAATAAAATTGATCCAAAACCAATATATAGTTTCCCTGAGCAACAAAGGAAAAACAAAAAAATTAAGAAATAACCAGGCAAATAATTACAAACCTGCTGATACTTGGACATGGGGTACTGCAGTTTGATGTCCAGTTTGGGGTTGTACTGAGCTAGAGACTCATGTTTGTAATGTGTAATGAGTGCTACCACTGTTGTAAATGTTAAGGGTTCAGAGAAGCCATACATGTTATCTCGATGGAATATCTTGATCAGTTTGTTGTTTCCTCCTTTCCTGAAAAGTAAATATCTTACTTTATTTAAAGATCATAGTACAGAATGTTGCACAATTGAGAAAACAATTTATGACTCAAGTCATAAGATATAATTATCAGACCTTGAAAATTGGTTGATATAGAGTTCTACCATTCAACACTGCCACATGGCTGATCAAAAAAGAAAAGAGTAATCTGTGGCCAGCTGAAGGCTTGGGTGATGTGAAGTTACAGTTTGCATTTGCTTTTTCAATACATATAAACAGAGAAAGAATTTGCCAATTCTATTCTATCAGTCCTGAAGATTTTTCTTTTAATGTGTAGGTCATGATGTTACCAAATTACTGTTTGGGCATGTATGTCTAATAAGTAAATATATATGGGCCACATCCTCCTGGGCCAATTTGGTGCATTGCAAATCAATGGAATACCCTCCAGTGATTGGAGGAACGGAAAGCCATATATTAGGTTGAACCAATTCAGGGTCATCAGAGGGTCTACTGCGAAGGCCTGAAAAAGACCTGGTGAGAAATCTGTCCACATTCGGAATCCCTCACCTGTGGCAAAGAGCTTGAGAGCCCATTCCCCAAACCAAATGATAATGTATGAAAAGGTCTACCCATCATTTTTTAATGCCTGGAATTTGGACGGTGGAGAGGGCCGGAATGCAAGCTGCAACTGTGGAATTTCCTAACTGGATTCTTGTTGGATGTCCTTGTAAAAGAGGTGTCTGACTTTAAGGAAAACTAAAATTGCTCCAAAATGTTGCTAGAAGTTGCTGGGTTGGAAATCCACCACGCTGAGGAGAGTCTGGCCTTGGCGGTCAGACGCATGGTGCAGCCCCATGCTGCCAGAATGTTGCATTCAAATGGCCTGGAGCAGGGGCCTCCAAAGTACGGCCTGCAAGGACATTTTTTCTGGCCTGCAACTAAAGTCCTCAGACTGCTGGGACATTCTCTGCTCAAGCTAACTCCCCTCAACCCTAGGCAGTATGCAGTGGAAGTGCAACCCGACAAAGCCCATCCCACCCCGGCTGTTAGAATAAGTGTCCTTTACCATTGTAATTTCCCATAAGGACCCTGATGTAAAGGAGAAATGTGAAGTGGACACAAATGTGAGGGGAACCACAAATGTGCAGGGGGCTTTGATTGGGATACAAATGTGTGGGGAAACTCTGATGGAGATAAAAATGTGCGGGGAGAGTCTCTTGGGGCATAAATGGGCAGGGAGACTCTGATGGGGACACAGATGTACCAGGCAACTCTCAACACAGACATAAGAACCCATGCACACCGAAAGTCTGGCCCCCGTAGATAAGGCTCTGGTGATTAGGTGCAGGCGGATGATACAGGTACACCATCCAGCCCCACTGCTGACAGCCTGTCAAATTCTTTCATTCCGCAGCTGTGGATTCATTTTTAAAAAGTTTGGAGACTCTTGGTCTGGAGTGACACAGTCTTGAAATAGGCAACACTTGAATTCACTGTCTGCTGGATTTCGGTTAACAGGGACATGGTCCAGATACTCCACAACATGAATTCCCTGATTGCAGAGCAGAGACAAGATCAGGGTAAGCACCTTTGTGAAAACCCAGAGGGCCATGAAAAGGCCAAAGGGGAGGGTGACAAATCGGTAATGTTGAAAGCTCACTGCAAAAAAAAAAGATCGTGCTGATGAGGTGGAAAGATGGGAATATACAAGTAAGCTTTCCAGATGTGTAATGAGGCCAGAAAATCCCCAGGAAGGATGGAGGCAATGACTGACCAGGCAGTTTCTATGTGGCACTTTCACACCGATAGGAACAAGTGTAGAGTCTTTAAATCTAGAATGATCTATACTCTATTACTGGATTTGGGAACAGCAGAAAAATGTAATAGTCTTGAAAGTGTGGTTCTGTTGCTACAGGGGTAAAGATTTCTTCAGACAAGAACTGCTGGACAATAGCAAGCAGATCGGACTCACCAAAACAAGGAGGGAGGCATGTTTGAAAGCATGAAGTGGGGAGGAGGCCAAGAGCAAAACTCCAGCTGTAGCCCCTGGATAGGACAATGAACCTAGGTGTCTGAGTAATTTAGCGACCAGCAGGCTCAAAGATATCCACACACTCAGAGAAGCAGGGACCCTCCACCACTTTATGCTGAATTGGATGAAATTTGTTCTCTAGGTGGCCCTGTTGCCACCCCCCTGGCTTGGCAAAAGTAAATTTTTTTATTGACTTTTGCCGTAGGAGCTGGGGGTAAATTCTCAGCTGAACAGTGCCTGCATCTTGGTCTTGCAGAGCAGGCGACGAAGCATGCTTCAGGAAAGAAACACAGGATAAAGGTAAAATGATCCCATGGAGCCTCTGCTAGCAGATCCCAGGACCCAGAGACAGACATGTCCATTTTTTGTTGAACAGACACACTAGAAGATTCATGTCCAGCATCCCCAGGGATAGCACAGGTGCTCGAATATATTTATTCAGAAACCACTCTCCCAGGTTTAGTTGATTTCGGATGAGCAAATTGGCCTGCCAATTTTCCATGCTGGCAATGTACATGGTGGAAAGCCATGGAACATGTTGGATAAGCCTGACTTCCCTTTACTGCAGTGAAATTTCATGTTCTTTCTTGATGGTTGCCATACACCACGGCTGTAACACTGTCAAACTGGATGCAGACTGAAAGAACAAACTTGACTGAAGCTAAAGCAGGGTCCCAATGCCACTATCATCAGGAACTATTTGCCCTTGATGTCAGATGAATTGGGCAGTCTAGGAAGAGATAATGTGTCCCACATGGACATGATGCCCTGCATGACTTCTAGTCCCGGTTTCTGCCTTGCTGTCATTCAGAGGGCGGGAGAGGAAGATCGAATAGCACCGGCACCTCGAGGGAGCATGAATACAAGTAAGTAATACCAAAGGCAGCAGCCACTGACTGGAGCAAAGGGAAGTACACTGAAGGAAGCAAACATTAGACCTAACATTTTCATGCAGAAGTAAAAACTCAGGCAGCTCCAGAACTTGATGTCACCAGAGTGGAGTCAGAAGATTCTCCAGGATGATAATCTTCTGTACTCTCATAAAATGATCATCTAGATAGCCTTAGTTTGCCCTGAGAGCACAGTAGAGCCAGAACTAGTACCAGCACCATGGTAAACAACTGGGGTGCTGAGGGAAGGCTGGTAATAAGTAATAACAGAACCCCACAGATAACCGTAGGTGGCACTGGTGTGCAGGAAAGATATCCCTTGCACAGGAAGCAATAACTGACTGTGTGGATACCATCTGAAACTTCTGAGGACTGATAAAAATATTCACAACTTTGGAGGTCCAAGATTTGGTGAATTCCTCCTTTGTCAGTGCCAGAACTGCCAGATAGCCTATTTTGGGATGCCACTGGTGAGAACACAAGAACACAAAATATGAACACTACTATAAGAGGTGCACCACAATCCGCCAGGGAGATTTACAAGTTTTGGGGTTCCCTCAATTTTAAGACTGGCCTACTCACATAGCAGAATAAATCTTCCATGACAGGGTCAGGCAATACAGAGTAACAGCTCTGGACACAGAAAGCATCCTGCATTTGCAGACCAGACTACAGCTAAAAGACACTATAATGTAAGACCCAGCAACCAGAGAGTACTTTCAGGATCGCAATGCGGAGGTTCAGCAGGCCTGACACACCAGCTGGGAAAAAACTGAGCTCAATGATTGCACTGTCAAGTCTCCACGACTAACGAGTTTGGCCTGAAAGAACCAGCAGCTGTTCACTAAAGAATGCCAGGGGCTGTGTCAGTCCAGTTATGATACTGAGTGCCAAACAACCATTTTAAGGCTACTTTACATGACATAAACAAGTCTGACCACTAAAGCAAACACCCCTGGAAGAATGTTCCTCCTCTAAGACGCCTAGCAGGTACAGAAGAGGCTCCAATGTAATCATAGTATGGAAAGTGTTATTGACAGTGCCTACCACTGACTGCAAATAGCAAAACAGTTTTGGGCATTTTTTTTCATTTATAACCAGAACATATGAAGCAAAAAAAGAATAGGGTATAGAATTATTTTGTAATATTCTGGACCCTGCATTGAGTAGGTAGAAGAGTTCTGGACAATGTTTGAGTCTTAAACCATACCAGCGCTTTTTTAGGCAGGTTAGCAGTTGTCGAGTGCACTGGAAATCCCCAAAACTAGAGGTGCCCATTTATCTTTGTACATTCCTGCCTTCCTTTAGTGGGGACTAGCTCAATAGAGAGGTGGTAAGGGGGCAGGGTATATTTTAAAAAATGGCATAATAGAGGGCCTATTGTTTCAGGGCTTCTGGAGCACCCTAAGATGAACCCGCCTGTATACAACTGATGAGAATATGAGGCCTGCAGATTTTTCCTTGGAGAGAAGAGCTCTTATTGAGACAACACTTAGCGTAGTCGTAAAGGCAGAAGGTAACAAAACCTTCTGCATGCAGCTTCCTCTGAAGCCCCCCTAAATACATACCCGAGTTGCACCCAGATTCAGTGATGTGCATGAGAGCCAAGGCTGTCTCGGCTCTCTTGCTTCTCATTGCTCCCACTGGCTCCTCATTGCTGTCAATCATGAGGAATGGGGTCAAGCCCCTTTCTGTGTGTCTTAAGGAGACACAGAGCAGGGCTTGGGAGCGAGCACACTTGAGTGCCCCCAGAGCAAGTGGCTTGCTCTGGGGGCACTTGGTGTGGGGGTGGAGCCCACAGTGCCGGCGAGGGAACCGAGAAGAGGAGGATGAGGGCTGCTCCATGCAAAACCATTCCACAGAGCAGAAAAGCATGACATTTGTTTAACCACTAGCCTACAGGGCACTTATACCCCATTCCTGCCTAAGCCAATTTCCAGCTTTCAGCGCTGTCACACTTTGAATGACAATTGCGTGGTCATGCAACACTGTACCCATATGAAATTTTTATCATTTTTTCTGAGACAGATAGAGCTTTCTTTTGGTGGTATTGAATCACCTCTGGGATTTTTATTTTTTCTTAAACCAAAAACCACAGAAAATTTTGAAAAAAAAAAAAAGTTTTTTCTTAGTTTTTGTTATACAGTTTTGTAAATAAGTGATTTTTCTCCTTCACTGATGTGCGCTAATGAGGCTGCAGTGATGGGCACTGATAGGCTGCACTGATGGACACTGATAGGTGGCACTGATAGGCACTGGTAGGTTGCACGGATGGGCACTGACAGGCATCACTGATGGGCACTGAAAGGCAGCACTGATACATTACACTGATATATGGCACTGACAGGCGGCACTGATGGCACTGACAGGCGGCACTGACTGGCACTGATGCACTGATTGGCAGCAGATAGGTGGCACTGACTGGCACTGATGGGTGAAACTGAAAGGCAGCTCAGATAGGCACTGATATGCGGCATTGATGTGCACTGATATGTGGCATTGATGTGGCACTGATACTGATGGGCACTGACACGTGGCACTGATGAGCACTGACAGGTGGCACTTCTGGGGCCACACTGATCATCAGGGCACACTGATCATCAGTGTACATGTCCCCTCCGCGGAAAGCCGATTACCGGCTCTCCTCTCGAGCGGTCAGCGTGACAGCTCGAGAGGAGAGAAATGCCGATAACCAGCATTTCCGTGTTTACATGTGATCAGCTGTGATTGGACACACCTGATCACATGACCAAGCCGACATCTTCGGCTCTTTCCGAGGGACACAGCGCACCGGCGATCGCCGCGCTGCACGCTCCCTGAGCCACGCGCTCCCTGAGCCGCGCATGCGCAGTGAGAATGGTAGGATGTCATATGACGTCCTATCAGAACGAGAGAACCACCTGCCCGTCACTGTACTATAGGGCGGGCAGAAGGTGGTTAAAGAAAAAAGTAAAAAAGACACAACGAAGGTTTAATATCACTTTAACACTGTTAAGCCTGTGGAGCACTGCCTGGAGGCATGGCTGAAAACCTCTTGTGTGTCTGTCTGTTTTCTCTCAGCCTGGTCTTCTGGCATTTCCTTGACTCAGGTTTCCTCACCTTGGCTTATTTAATTCCCTGTTGTATTTACTGATCCCCAGGCCTTTACAGAAGGCACGTTATATCAGTTTTATCAGTCTATAGACCAAGAGGGCTATATATGTTTAAATATTTATTTATATAGCTAAGCAATATTTAACTTTTAGATACCAACTGCATCCAATTAGAGGCAAACACCCAGTCAAATTTCCCATATATCTCCATCTAGAGGTATCATAAGAAAAATAGTGTAATGCACAGAACACAAAACTGACTGTTCTTTCAGATGGATATTAATATTTAAGGTATGATATTGTCACAAAAGCTTAGAAAATATGGTTACCTGATTGTAAGCGTGTATTCCCTCAGAATTTTGCTGGAAGCATCTCTCACCAAAAATGTCCCGTCTGGTGTGTCCCGGAGTTTATCATTCACCTCTTCTCTGAAGTAATGCAAAATGATTTCAAAATTAGTATCGTCAATTTACTATTATGTTGTGTTCTAATTGAGAACAAAAGGTTATCAATGAATATGCATCTTGCCTTTCCTTTTCTTTGAAAGCTTAAGCAGTCTTTCCAAATATCTGCTGGTAACTAACTGGTACCTAAAACTGGAGAATTACTGAACGTGAACACTTTTCAGATGGCGTGCAAGAAACTGATACTGTATTAAAGTAGAACTAAAGCCAGGGAATGTTTTATGAAGGGGCAACTGATGGTTTATGGTGTGCACTTCTATTATTCTCTTACCGTTGCAACAAATACCTATTAAATACTGCAACCATTAATGTTTAAATTGAGCAGCAGGAGGCAGGAATAACAGCCCATTATCCCTTGAAACTCAGTGGATGTGTCCTTGGGACATGATAGATGCATTCAGTGTAAAGTGTGAGCAGTAGAGGGGATAGTTATAGGGAGCATGTAGGGCAGTAAAATAGTAGCAGGTTATTTCAGGACACTGTAGGGGAGATTACATTTACCCAGGGGTAATGGATGTTTGATAAGGTGTGTTACATATAAATACGTGGAGGGAGGGGGTGTACAAGAGATTTGGTGCAAGGCTTGTTTTACATGGCACTAGGAACAGTGGAAGTAAGCTCACACTATAGGTGGCCATATATGGAACTAAATTCAACCAGTTCAGCAAGGCTTTAGTTTAAATAAAAACAGTTTATAGCAAGCTTTTAAAAAATATTTGAAAAGTTTTGTGCCATTTTTTTTAAGTGGTTGTAAAGGCTCAAGGTTTTTTACCTTCATGCCTTCTATGCATGAAGGCAATAAATCTACTGTGTGCAGCAGCCCTCCCAGCACCCTCGGCTCTCTGAGGACTCTCCCTGCTCATTGGCTGAGACAGCAACAGATGCCATTGGCTCCCATTGCTGTCAATCACAGCCAGTGATGACAGAAACCCTATCAAGATCAATGTTTTACATTCCCAAACTAACTGAGGTTTGCTGAAAAAGCTTCAACAAAGCTGCTTCAAGCTTACTGAAAATTTTGCAAATGGTGTGTAAAATCATGCTGTACACTTTGATTTTTCAATCACTGAACCCAGAGTACAGAAGTCTATAAAGCCTATCTGAACCCAAGAACAAACATTTAAAGCAGTATTAAACCCAAAAGCAAACATTTATTTCATTACCAATTCTTAGATGTGATTCTTTTTTAGGCTTTCTTTCCTTTTTTTTTCACCTGGTGATCCTGCCAGTAATGAAATAGTAAACAATCTCCTGCACATGAGTAAGAGGGACTAAAGGCCAGTTTCCTGATTGTAACATATGGAATGGATGGATGACAGAAGTAGACCAACAGAAATGATAGGCTTTGTTGCTCTCACAAACGGCTGGGGTATTCCAACATGGCAACTGCAAACAAATAAACACAGAGCACACTGACCTAGTGCATTATCCAAGGTTTAATTGATTAAAAATTGGATAAAAAAATACTCTCAAACATATTCGTGAATGCTCACAGAACAAAATGTCACCACATGATAGAGTACGCTGAGAACCAACGGACCCTATAATGCCTGAAGGAGCTGTTCCCTCTAACGTGTCAGCCTTTCTTTGGTCCTAAACGGCTCCTTCAGGCGTTATAGGGTCCGTTGGTTCTCAGCGTACTCTATCATGTGGTGACATTTTGTTCTGTGAGCATTTACAAATATTTTTTATCCTATTTTTAATAAATATGATCCTTGGATAATGCACCAGGTCGGTGCGCTGTTTATTTGTTTTCAGATCCTGCCAGTAAATCTGTTTTTCAACAGAACAAACGGTCCTGCAGATGTATCAGTTAGAGGGTTGAAACAAACAATGCAACACTGACAGTGGTGTTTACAATGATCAGTTTTTAACTAAAACCTTTATCCTAAAATGAACAAAACTTGCTGTAGCTGCTTAAATCTGTTAGCTGGAGTTTGGCTTCAAATTGTCAGTGTATTTAAATATGCAAGTGCTTCTAACACCCCCACTCCCCTTAGGCTGACAATGTTGCTGTCTAAAGGTATCTCTGTTGCTCACTCGTCCAAAGTAGAGGCACTCTAAATACAGGAGATATATTCCTGGCCACATCACCAGGTGAAAACGGAAAGGAAAAAGCCTAAAAAGGAAAACGAATGCAGTTCCCACATCTAATGATTGGTAAGCTTCAATATATTATTTGGTTTTGCATTTAATACTGCTTTATTAGATTGCTGCTTACAAGAACTTCTGGTGGCTGTATTAATTTAAATTTTCCCCCCCCATGTCCAGTAATTAAACAGGAATCAGCATTAAAATTACTTCTAGTTGAAAGACTTTTTCTTAAACATTGTATGAGGTTCTAGGATAACCCCCCCACAAGAAACAAAAATGTTGGACTCACCTAGAAACGTCCCCCCAGTACCACTCTGCCTCCTGCAATGTTCCTCCATTCACATTGGTCGTGCAGGCCAGTGGTTTAGGTTTTGTTGGTTTTGGAGGGAGAGCTGATAAAAAAAAAAAAAAAAAAAAAAAAAAAGTAAGGGGCAAACTGAAAGTCCACTTTTGTTACATCACTGTTATAAGCTCAGTTCACTACAAGGGTTTTATTTTCTATTGTTTGTCTGATGAAAATTGTTAAGTTGAAACAAAAATATCACTTAAATTGGTTGTAAAGGCTCAAGGTTTTTTCACCTTCATGCATTCTCGGCTGTCCCGAGTCTCTGTCTCCTCATTGGCTGAGACAGCTGTCAATCACAGCCAGTTAGCCAATGAGGAGAGGTGGGGTCAAGCCACAGCTTGAATGTGAATGGACACGCGGAGCAGCGAGTGCCCCCATAGCAAGATGCTTGCTGTGGGAACACCCGACAGGGGGGACGAGAGCTTGCGGGGGACCCAAGAAGAGGAGGATCTAGGCTGCTCTGTGAAAAACCACTTCACAGAGCAGGTAAGAATAGACATGTTTGTTATGCTACAACAAAAAAAAAAAAGAAAAAAAAGAAAAAAAAAAAGAAAAGAGAACCTTTAGTGTCGCCTTAAGGGCATCATTCTTGTTTTTTTCTAAAGTGTATTGAGTGTTTTAACAAGGAAATACATATTAAAGAAGACTGTAGAACACAAGGCGGGCGCCCATGCTGGGAGAAGACAGTGATTATTGCTATCGGCTATAGCAGCCGCTGATGATAATCTCAAGTGAATCCAGTAGGCTGGTTGTGCCCAAGTTGGTCGATCGATCAACTTGATACATTCAGCCAGCCCACACAGTTCAAATCTCGGCTGGTTCATGCTGAACCGGATGAGATTCAGGATGTCTATGGCTGGCCTAACTCTTCCCCCAGATCATACTCCCAATTAAGGAAATATTTTGATTTAGAGTCTCCTAAAGAGGAGGAGGAAAGAGTCTGATAGGAGCAAGTTTAGCACAGTGGTGCTATCAATCTGGCTAAAAGGAGAGAAAGACAGCCGTGAAAGGGGGGGATCCTGCAGCACAGATTTATTTTTAACCTTAATGCATAGAATGCATTAGAATCATTTTAATTTACATCTATGCAGGCTTATTTATGTACAAACAATTTATATTTGTCAACTACTTTGATTTTATGCAGTGACACTTCAGTTCATGCTAGGCATCAGAGCTCGCCTTGAAGTCAGACAACTACAACCCCATTAAAGGAAATGAAAGATGAAATAAATATAGGGCTGGTATTGCTTAACTTCTGAAAATGCTAGCTGATTGGTTATGGCACTGGCTTCAATATTTCAAGTTAACTTGTAGCTCAAACATTTTTTTTTTTCTTTTTAATTTTGGTGGAGAAGTGTTCAAATCCCTGTCTATTTTTTTATCTCGCTATACAGGCTCTTTTACAGAGAACTTCCTTCACTTCCTGTTTTAATAACAACGGTTTCATCAAAAACAATGTTTGATGTAATTTCCACACTCTTGCAAGCTGCATGTAAGAATGTGAAACATTAATTTTTTAGGTAAACAGCATGATAGAAACTCAAAATATGAGCTCAAAATAAAATAATCTAGCTATCTGCTTGCTGTCCCCCATTTCTATAACTATATAATTACTACAGAGTTCTAGATTTTCTCGCTGATGGCCACTAGCTAAGCCGCACCGAGGAATCATTTTGTCAGCCAATAAAAGTGGTAAGCTTCCAGTGAGAATGTAGAACACAATTACTCTGCAGCACTAAATAGAATGCAGAGCCTGCATAAGTACTGTGCACAAACAGCTGCCCCCCCATGTACATGCCCACCGTATGATCAAGGAGTACTGGATCAGATCTGTCGGTGCCAGGTTACCACAGAGCTGGCCGTGGACTCTACGATCCTGTCATTTCTGGCTCTGGCAGATTTAAACAGTGCCATTTTTTTTTCATGAAAAACAGAGTTTAAAGTTTTTCTTTTTTTAATCTCATGCTTTCCAGGTAGAGGAAAGCTCTGGAGATCACAAATGTCTCCATAAAGAGGACCTGTAATACTTTATCACATTTCCTGTGAAAGGAATAACCGCTATGAAAAAAAAATAAAAGGAACAGTGTAAAAAAAAAAAAAAAAAAAAAAAAAATCACAATTTTTTTTTTTAAAGCGCCCTCAGCTCCTCATACTTGTACACAGAAGTGAACACATACGTAGCTCACGCCCACATATGTAAACAGTGTTCGCATCCCACATGTGAAGTATCACTGTGAACACTATACTGAGAGTAATAATTCTAGTGCTAGACCCCCTCTTTAACTAAACTGGTAACTTGTAAAAATGTTAAAACGTCGCCCATGGAGCTTTTTAAGTACAGTATTTTGGTGTCACTCCACGAGTGTGCATAATTGTAAACCGTGACGTTAGTTATTCATTTGGCGTAACAATTTTTTATATGTGACCAAAAAACAGGGCCATATATATTGTTTTTTTTGCATAAAATTCATTAAAGTATAGGTTTTCCAAAAAAAAACATGTACTTGATAAAACCCTGTGCCAATACCATGTGACATAAAAAAAATTGCACATGCACCAATTTATTCTCTAGGACCTCTGCTTAAAAAATACATATCATGCTTGGGGGTTTGGGAGCATTTTCCAGTAATAAAAAATTATGATTTTTTCATGTAGGAGAAATGCCAGAATTGGCCTGTGTGGGAAGTGGTTAAACGTGTGCAAAAAAAATGTAAAAATAGCTTTGGAAGTGAAAGGGTTAATGGAGCAGACACCAGAGCTTGATTTGGCTGCTCAGCATGCACTTGGTACCAAGCACCCAAATGCTTCTGTGTGTGAGGGTAATCCGAAGGAATAAAGTTTTTTTTTTTTTTTTTTACCTCTTTGGGGCTGGCACCTCATTTACTCACTCAGCAGATGTGCATCTGCTGAGCATTAAGAGAGCCCGGCAGGGACATGCATCCATTGAAAATCCCTAGTGATAAAATGGTCTCATTCAGTACAGGGATGTTCAATTCCTATCGCCTGACGTTGGGACATGCAGTTCCGGGTGCCGGGCAAGAAGTTTTTTTTTACATTTAGCCATGCTGTGGGCAAGCAGCAGGGTTTAGAGGCAACTGTCAATTCTCTTGTAAAAGCGATTCGAGCGGCTAACTAGCCACTGGATAATTTTTACAGGCAGAGTGAGGGGACGCCCTCCCCCTTCCAGGGCTGTTTCGATGCTTTTCATCTCCCCCTGCTTGGTGGAGGCATGCTCCAGTCCAGTTCCGCTCCCCCCAGAAATCGCTGCAAGTCAGAGCCAGGTGTTCTCCTCATGGCCGCCCGGATTTCGTTCTTCTGGGGAGGGAAATTTCACCCTGCCATACTACAACTCAGCTGGACTATCTACCAGCCCCCAACTCCTCTGCCACAGCTGTCCTGCCGATCTTTAACAGCACTGACAATGTCACCGATCCAGGACCCATCATGTTAGAGACAGACAGCACACCATACAGGGAGAGGGTGATCCAAGTACCTTAGAACAGCTGACCACAGCCACCAACCCCCCAAACATGCCACCCACCACACAGCTGACTGCGTTTGCCGACTGCGCACCCCCCCCACACAAAATGGCCAACCATGGCTGCCACCAATACTTCCCACCGATCAGCCGACCACAGCTGCCTCCGACCCCCTCGACCATCCCAGCCACCGACCCCCTTCAGGCCCTGACCATTCCACCCACCGGCTGCCTCTGACCATCCTGATCATCCCACTCACTGATGGCCCACTATAGCCGCCACTGACCCCCCAACCATGCCACCCACCAACCATGGCCACCATCGAACCCCCGACTTTACTGTCTGCCACCAGCATTTTTGTTGGTATTACTGATTATTGTTATGTTGCTGATTATTATATATTTTTATTTTATTTACATTTTTATTACTTTTTATTGTTATAATGTGATTTTTGATACCTGCAGCCTTGGAGTCCCATCCACTGGGAGTGGAGACAAAGCCTGTCCAATCCTGAATATCCGATCGACCAGCTGGCACTTCTGCCAGCTGATCTTAGGGGCAGACAAAAAAATGAACAGCTCTTTCCACCTGACATAAGAAACAAGAAGCAATGAGCATACATCGCTTCCGATTTTCCCAGATGTAAACGGCACCATTTTAAAACATGAGTTGAAAAATTGAAAGCCTTTGATCACACTGATTTTGGTCTGCTTAAATGCTTTTAAGGGCAGAGGAGGGATCTGGGTCTTATTGACCACAGATCCCTCAAAGTGTCACTACCCATTTCTGTCACAAAGGATGTTTACATTCCTTGTGAAAGCAATAAAAGTGATCAAAAATTTTTTTTTTTTAAAGAGACCGTTTAAAGATAATTAATTTTTTTAAAATTACCCTCACACCCCCGTGCTTGCGCGCAAAGGCGAATATACACGTTGGTCACGCAAGCACACAAATAGTGATCGTCCCTCACATGCTGTGCAAATACCATGTGACATCAAAATTTGAAAACCCACCAATATATTCTCTAGGGCCTCTGCTTTAAAAAAAATAAATGTCTGAGAGTTCTAGGAAATTTTTAAGCAAAAAATAAGCAACATTAAAAGTTTGTCGCCATAAAGCCCTTTTTTTAAAAAAGCCCCAGACATTCCTAAAAGCACCTCTGCCTAATAAAAACATCAACTCTTCATATTTTCTATCCTGGGGAAAAAAATTTTTTCTCATCAGGACAAGTGGATTGGGCCCTCAATTTAGTCCCTTGGACAAATAGTTTTTTAAAAAAATTTCCACACCCCCTGATTATAAGTGACTGCGTGCATGTAAGGGTAAGTGACTGTGTGGATGTATGGGTAAGTCACTGAATGTGACTGTGTGAATGTATGTTTAAATGTGTGCTTGTATTGGTGACTGCATGCATGTATGGGTAAGTGACTGTATACGACTGTGTGCATGTATGGGTAAGTGACTGTATACGACTGTGTGCATGTATGGGTAAGTGACTGTATGCAACTGTGTACATGCATGGTTGTGTGCACGTATGGGTAAGTGACTATATGTGACTGTGTGCATG